GCAAATAGAGTTGTATATTAAGTGTTATTTTCTATGTATCTGCCGCTAATGTTTACAATTTCGTAGAAGGATTCGATCGTGTCAGAGCTCTTTGTCGTGATGGGCTGACGTACGTCACGGCGGTGGAGTCGTGCAATTTACACTCAGCAGGCTTCTGATCCTCGTGCAAACTCGTGCTGACCAAGTTTTCGTTGCCTTTAGTCTATAGATAGTTTACTAGCCTTCGTGTACTTGTTCGTACACGTTCACGCACTCACGTCTACTAACAAGCAGATGAGCACACAACCCAATCGACCCAATTACCATATAGACTACAATGCGGGTGTCGACGCTGTTTCGGCTCGCGGAACAATCAACTCCATCAGGTCTGATTCCCCGATAGATTTGACTGGGGAACGCGGTGCTTTGCTTCGGCGAAGTAAATAAAGTTATCCAAATAATCTAGAGCATAACACAGATACTGTCACAATCGAAGCAGTTCTATATGCCAAATAGGTTTTACTCATATTTAATGAAACTTTGTGTTAGTATCGTCTTCTTATAAAAAAAGAACCCTTTCTGTATCGGGCCAGGTCTTGTATTTTTGTTCTAAAATACGACGTGTGGCCTCCAACCCAGTTTGCTTTCATACAGCGGTTAAAGTTTATGTTATCTATTGTGACAGAGATTAGAGAGATGTTCATGTCATATATTTCTACATCTCTATACATGCTTGTGCAAAATTGATAGTATTTATTGGAAAATTTTACTCATTTAATGATCAAGAATCGTTTTCCATCAATTGTTCGTTCATTGTCGACATTTTATAGCTATAGGGTAGGCTTCATTTACTACGGATACGTACTTCCTCTAATGTGTCGAAATTTGAAGCACTCTCGATTATGAACGAGGCTTGTGACGATCAACGTCTATTGCTAAATTTAAAATACTATAGTTAAAATTAGAGAGGTTTGAAATTAAACATACTGCATACGTTAGATTATACCATTACCACGATACGCTTACTGGATCGAGGCCCAAGGACGCTTGAAAAAAAAAAGCATTCTGAAATAAATATTTAAGGGTAAGTCGTCTCGATGCCTCGGATCGAGTTTTAGAGAACGCTGAATTTTTGGGAATTCGCGATGTGTGCAAGCCAACATAGGTTCTCTCTACCATATACGTACAGATATGAGAATTCTATGGCCACGAATGAGCCGCTATTCGTTTTCGTTGTGTTAAAGAAGCATGGAAATGAAGCAGGGCTATCTATTAGAAGGTGATATGTCCTTGAAGTTTACAGGTGACACCCTTTTACCCCTTTGATTCTGTCCGCACTCGACCGTTGACAATACTCTGCGGCTTCAAAATTCTGACATATTATCAGGACTTTGTCGACGCTATCTTGTTTGCAAAGCTAATCGTAGGTACCGAAATTTTCTTTTACATAGAGACTCGTCACTGACGTGGATATGACCCACTGACGATTCCGAAGTATGCAAATTAATCACAACCGTTTCGTAAGACGATATTAGTATTTTCATCTTAATGCAAAACTGCCCGGAAATTCGAGTCTACAATGCCATCGTTACCCGCATCGTTCTGTCTCCATTGAAAGTCACAGATAATCTGGATCGACAACGGAGCAGCAGCAAAAGACAGTAAGAAGCTCCCGTAAACGATAAAGGAAACCCGTAACTACATCGGAACTTCCAAAGGCAGGTAAAAACGCGGAAGCTAAATCCATTTTCGATCATTACTCCCCCCCCCCCCCGTCCAGCCCCAGGCCCATGTTGGTCCACTTAAATACATCAAAGTAAAATAAACCATTTCAAAGTAGAAATGAATTGCATGTGTAAAAATAAACAAGGAAATCAGCCCTGCCGGTTCACCTTATACTGGGTTCTTGTATTCTGTTTGAGTGGACCAGGAAGAACCTAGAAAGGCGATCCTAGAATTTCGTAGAATTCAGACTAAGATTTCACTCTAGTTGTTTCGGATTTGCATTTTCTTTGTTTAGGTCAAAATTAATTTTAAAGACAGATACTATATGCCTTTAAATATAGTCCTTCCTTGACTACGACAGACGTCAGATTTTATAAAATTTATAACCACGCTTGATCTAAATACACATTTAAATTCAATGTCCATCCATAAGTCCACTAGAATTCTAGAAAGAGAGAGAGATTTGGACATTTAGCCGCATTTGTAAAACCCGCACGGCTTTTACTGTAAATTCTTTAAATTATTCTAAAAATTTATAATAGAACTGCTATGAAGTTGGCCTATTTTCTCCACTAAATCGACTGAATGAGATAGGAGATGGACTATACGAGTTTCTATCAAAATATACCACAACAAAAACAGCCGCGACGTCTAGCTAGCGCAGTTCCTCAGTTATGTCGACTGTCCTTGCCCTATAGAGGGCGTAATACACATCTAGTCTATTAACGACTAACAACTAACTTAATAGTTTCGAAGGAGATGCACACTCGGAATCATTTCCGTACAGTGGTCATGCTTAAACTCGCAAGCTAACTACTATCGACCAACTAATCTGACTGGCTGATATATATATATATTCCTGGTGCATATATATATATATATGTATATATACGCACCAGGAAAAAAGATCATGACGTAATGGCTTTCATTGCATTTCAAAAGTCCTAAAGGCCAAGAAAGAAGACTATGAGAATCGTTCAGAGAATATCACGCTACTACGTTGTAGGTGTATCTGATGTACGAATCATTTAAAACAGTATTATCCACACCAGCGGTGTTGTGTCATGATATGATATTATGTCCGGTTCTTTTTTCATTTTCATATCATCAGTGCGGTGCGGTGCGGTGCATTTTCTTTACCCAGAGGGTACTGCAACAACTTGCAGTGCTAATGCCCGCTCCTTGCCTGGTACGAAGTCAGCAATGAACTTCAAGCTTTCCGCGCTTCACCTACTTCAATAGAACGCATGTATAGTTAAGACGAAATCCTCTTGATTTAACATGAAACCACCGGTTGAGGAGCGGCCATTACCGCCGCGATTTTCACCTATTTCTATTGTGTCAAAGGCATATTTTCGTCAATCCATAACCATTGAACAGAGCGTGAGCTATTATTCTTAAATAGATCAGGCGCAAAATCGTCCAATAGAACGATTATGTCATTAAAACGGAACGAGAAGATTCATATGTAGGTCGATCAGATAGCGTTACACTGGTTGAAAAAGAAAATTATCGATGAAAAGACGTTGTCAATTCAATGACGTAATTTAGAACTTGCAAATACAACTGCCCACGACCAGTAGGGAAATCAACGATTTGGAAGAATGAAGATAGGATACTTTATACCGAAAGCAATAAACTAACACGTATCATATGATTAGATGTTTACAATGCAAAACATTTGTACTACAGTAAACACCAATCGAGAGGCTAAATAGCACCCAATACGAGTGTTCCTTTATAGACGCAGGCGTGAGTTTAAAGATTTAGACGATTGTCAGGACACTCAACAGTCGAAGAGCCTTAATAGTACCATATTCATTACCTGTAGTTGACAAATCAACGCTAAACCGTTGTGAGAGTAACGTAAAAGCCAACCTCACTCATAGCAGGATAACATCGTATATCAAAAAATCCATTTAGCTGAATGAGAATACTGCGCACGCATGTCAGAACCTCTCTGCAGGTCTGCTCCGAAACCCAGTAATGCTGACTGCTTATTCGAACCAAATATTAACTATGATGGTTTTGATGACATTCATATTGATCGCAGTCGCTGTCTGTTTCTGCTCTCTGCACGAAGGCTAGGATCCTCCAAAGCCAATATCCTTAATATTACTGCATCTACTTTAAGTCGCTGCGTAACGTTTCGGAAAACGGAGGCCTCCGTCAACTTGGTGTCAAGAATTACTTAGAAAAGTTCACAATATCGAATTACTAATCACAATCGAACTTGTACTATAAATTATATCAAAGTGAAAGTGAAAAATGTAAGCCAGTAAATTCGTGTGGGTACTTTCTAGCGTCGGCCCTAGCCGCTTCCGCGGATCTTGTTACGAGTTCTCTGGACCTCCAACGCCTCTGTTGTTTTCGGCTGGCTCTGCATAACTGGTAATGGACAACGTCGTATCCACCGGGGGTACGTAAATATTTGCCGAATAATTTAAGCTTATTCTTTGACTGAATAATCCTCATTATTCAGAATTGGTGTTACAGTAACAGTTGGTCAGCTGGTAATTTTATGCATCCTATCTATAACATTTCTAAACCGTCACAAGGCACGGTGCTATTCTTGATTGTTACTTACGTGTTTAAATACTGGGCTGGTGTGAGTACACCTATTGCAGATCGGGAGCAATATCTCCTCAATGGTTTTTATTGTGAAACTTCACACTCGGAAAATATTTACTGTTTCGTAATCGGATTTGCAAGTATCTGTACTATACGATTACAACACAAGATGGTGCATTTACGGAAACAGCAGGGGCAGCGAAAACATTGCTTACAGGAGTGTATGGGCGTGCGCGCACGAAGCTTATACGCATACATCAAAGACGAGCTTACATCAGCCTGTCAGGTTGAAGGTCCCCCATTTTCCAAAGAGATTTACTTTCCAAACGAACTCTCTTAGGATTCTAACAGTATCTACACAGAGTCAATATTGTTCTAAAGACTTATAGATCCGATAGAAAAATAACCTCTTACCAAAAGTAACTACCCCGACTTGAGCAGCTCAGTTTTGGACCCTATCCATACAAGTGCATGGTTCAGACTAAGTTCTCTGTCTGGCACAATTTTTCGTCAAATCAATGACAAATAAACGACACTAGAAAGTGTCGTTATTAAATTGCAGACAGCTGCGTTAGCATTGCAACGCGATACATACGATGTGTTTTCTGTATGAATGAACAACAGCGTTTTGATCGGTATCTTGTGAACTTTAGTTTATACGTAGATATTTAACATAGGTCGCATAGCCAGGAAAATTATTGAAAACACATAAGACATCTCAAAAATGACAATGATAACTGCTAGTTGGTGGGGCACAGTACCCGCACGCAACCTTCGCTTGCGGTTCCGGCGTTAATGTTGACCCTCTTTGTCCTGCAAAATCAAGCATACAACGTTTTACTTAACGATGTTAATAGTATGTATATAAGTTGCAGCAGCTTAAAAATATCGGTGAGGGATTATGCTACGAAGCGCTAAGGAAATGCTGCTAAAAATTTCTAATGTTTAGACAATTGTCAAGTGCTCTTGATATGGGCAGCAGAAACCTAGAGGGTTTCATGTATTACACATATGTTCAACCTGATAGGTCTGAGTAACTTGGTAGTTCGAGGGCTTCGAAAGTTACCATCGACATATTTCGATTAAACGAGTGATCGTCCGTCTAAGTAGCATTTTAATAAAATGTGTTACTAAAAAGATATTCTTGCAATGATGCTCCTTTTATAATATTACTGATTTCGCAATTAAAATATTTGGAAATTGCCTGGAATAGAACACAGTGATATTGTGTGATGGTTTTTGAAAGTTGAAGGTACGTTAAATTTCTAAAAATTATTCTCAGTAGACATTAGTGCTACCTGTGAGCAAAGGCTCGATGCTACTTAATTTTTTATTACTACTTTTCCAAGAAAAAAGGTGACAGGCGATAGATAGGGAAGTGTCTAGAAGAAGCTGCTGAGAAAAGCTAAACAGGACAAAGTTCCTGTTACTTCCCTTTATCCTTTAGAAGCAGTTGCGATTGTACAGTTCATATCTGTACATGAGACTTTGTACCTTTATTAGCATAATCCTGAGTAAAATCGTGTGTTCTTGTCTCAACAAAGTCGTTATCTGCTTTGCTGCTTTTATAGTCCGTAGGATATATCCGCTAGTCATCGTATGAGATACCGTGTGTGTTTCTGTCACCATGTGAACACTGATCCTATCGTGAAAAACCTGTTCTCACTAGTAAAACCAGGTCTGCGGGGGCTAAAACAGATGTCTTTCTAAGTCGGGTCTCGTTCAACTCCGATTGCAATAGAGTAGCATTGACGAGCGTCTACAGTTCCTTTTCAGTTAAGTAGGCTTAAACCTGTATCCCATCAACAACCGACGTAAGGCCGCCTAGGAAGGCTTGTCCGTCCGGCCACGCGAAACCGAACGGGAAGTAGGCGTTGAACACACTTCCCACTTTGTGGTATCAGCTTCATTTAACCGTGCTAGTCAACTCTCAGACTCGCAGTCCAATTCTTACGACCGAAAATTATGCTAATACATATGTTGACGTTCCAAGTATTCCAACCACACTAGAGTTCAAGAATAGGCAAATATGTTCTGGAACAGAGTCCATCATAAAAAAATGTTGAATCTTTGAGCTGCTGCAGCGATTGAGGCCGTCGGCTGGTGGTGGTCCGTTTAAAATACATGCAGATATTTACTCAGAACGGGTTGTCACTTGATTGGTCGGATTTCGTAGTTGTGCTATACTAGTTGGCACTGGTACCTTCCAACTGCGCGGTGAATGTGAGAGCAAAACAAAGGGCATAGTGGTGCAAGCATACCCCGTCCATATAATAGTAGTTTCGTAAGTATCCACGTATTGGCACAGTGAAGTACATCGGTGTGTCGCAAAAGAACGAGCGCCATTACATCGACGTTGGTATATTATATTGTAAATGTATAGAAAAGATATAGAGCAGGTTGATGCTAAAAATGAACAACGCTAACTGGCAGACGGCAAAAGTGGCAGCTACTATAGCTCGAATCATCACGCCGAGCTTCCCGCTCTTCAGCCAACCTTCCGCAATACGAAATCGTTCTCGATTGCCTATATATATATAATTAGTACAGTTCTAGCATCCTTTGTGGATCCACATACGCCGTAGCAACGCGTAACAGGCCATAAATGTACGTGATTCATCGAAGACGCCACGCTTCAAATCTATTTTCGTACCATATTTCCAGCTCACATTGCTCCTGCATTCAAATAGTCTTACTGCTGCTTAAATCATTGCTTCTGTTTTCAGAGAGATCTGTAAAGTCACTAATAAAACCTTGGAAAAATAACAGTCGAGTCTTTTGTCACATAAAAATTATATGATTATATGAAGCTACAAACGAAGTGGCTAAGTGATTAAGGAAAATATATATACCTCCTCTGAGAGACAAGATAGGCGCTGCAAGGCTGGAGTCGTTCAAACAGAGGCATTGTTATTATAGATTATAATTTTCCCGGACAAATAAAAAAAAAAAAGAAGTTTCGCAGAACCAATGGGGTTTAACATCGAAGACTGGACTTTATGACTAACATTTCCTATAATTTTTCGAGTACTTAACCCTAATTAAGATGTTTATGAAATTACCAGCATGGCTGTATCGAACACAGTGAGTTAATACCTTCGTTTCCGTAACGAAAACAGGTATTACCTAATCCTCTGCAATTTAGACCCCAGATCCGGTAGTCGTTTTGCCTACCAGCAATGATTGAAATGCAGAACCAGACCTTTGAATCTGAGGCAACAGGTAGCCGTTAGATTCTTTTTACGAGTTATTTACTTTTTAGTTACTTTTTTTACATACTTTTTAGAAATTTACATTTAGCGGTTGCCTTACCCGGTTGCTAGGATACTAACGGCGAAAACAGGTTGGCCCTGTAAAATATGTCGTCAAGCTGTCTGAGACTGTGTTGCTGAGTGTTGTTTGATCATTAAAAAGTTTGATTATCGAACACCTTAATTAAACTGGAACAGTTAAATTTTCATGTAATATCGATACAAGCAAAATTATGTAGAGGTCAAAAACAGCTATGTTTTTTTACTGACAGTATTATGAGTAATAAGCTTATTGGCTGCCAAATTGCCGTTGTAGTTCTTCTCGTCCGTTCATGCCGATGCTTGTTAGAATATTGTGAAAGTAAATAGGATTTCCGCAAAAACATTACTGAGGGCCTGATGTGATGTGTATATTTTTCGTCTGCTCGCTCGGTAGAGTTTGCGGCCTTGTTTATCGCTGTGCAAACTCGGTGCCGATCTGTGTTACACACGATACGTTTAGGATGGTATTTAGCATGTTCGCACAATACAGGTATTCGACTGAATGGTGTAGTAGTTACACTTTCTTTGTCTTCCAATTCTGAAGGGTGGTCTTAACTATCTAGATCACGTTTATTGATTGGTAGTAAACGCAGCTCTTGCCTCGGATAACAGCAGGATCGACATGATAGAGCTATATCAAGCCCAACTTTGGAGTTGAAAACACTGGATGTCGAACTTCCACGTCTTTCTACGTTACTTAGTCATTCCATGAGTTTGTGCGGGTAGCGACTTTCTACGCCGAAAATCGAAAGTCTTGATGCAAAACACTTCACTATGTACCGCCTTCACGTTTAAGTCTATTTACCCGAGTCTGACTTACGTCCGGAAAGCGGTATTTGGACATAAGCTCATCGAGTATGGGAAAGCACATTACTACTTGCCCGCCTGCCTTCGCAGAGGGGTTCCGTTTGGCTCTAAGTAAAGCAAAAAGCAGTGTCTTCGCCCCACAAAGCGACAAGAACGGACGGGCAACTAGCATGGGTTAAACGAAGGCAACTTTCAAACATTGAACAAGATAATATGTTTTTTTTTTCCGCACCGCAAAGGGCCGCGAGTGAAGGAAATGCCTTGCGATGTAAGGCTGCGAAGTGATCTTGCCAGTAGATGAGTGAGCGATACGGTGACTAAAGAAACAGGGGGCGCGGAATACACAGTGGGATAGGTATGACTAGTTTACATCCCGGGGGTTCCTTTGAAAGAGCTTCATGGGTGTGAAGCGTGAGATCTTCACAGCATGTTGTTGTTTCCCCTTATGATACTACTGCTAGCAACGATATATTTACCCGTCCGTCCAAGAAGGATCCAGGCTTCTAGTGGAAGCCAAAAAAACAGTGTTTTGTTAAAGGGCAAAGTTATTCCCCAACCAGAAATATAGAAAATGGAAGCTCATATAGTTGTCTTCAGGTTTCTAATCTAAATTAGAACCAATGTTAATATGAAGGTTTTAATTGGCTGTTTTATTGATCTATAATACTTCAAACAACTGATGACTACCTATGACGGATAACGATCTTTGTTTATATGTGTATGTTCACTAATCTTGCTAATACTGAAAGATACTAACCACGCATATCTATTTAACAATCTGAAGACAAGCTAGAAGGATAAACGACAATGAGTGTCTGCTAGGTAAAAGTAAATCGATATTGCTTTTTACGCGGGAACATTCACTTATCCTTGTCAACACCTATACATATTGGAGTTGGGTTTTTATTGTGACTTCTGTGAATCCACACGAAAAATACTTAAAAATCTACACAAATAACGTGAACAAGTGAAGTACAATACGTGAGAATGTCTAAAAAATACATACATATTTAAACAGACAACAGATTAGGTTATTAATTACCTTGTCTTAATATTATGCCAACCTACCTGCTTTCTCTCTCTCTCTCTCTCTGTTACATACTTTTATAAAACACTGACAAACCCTTTATTTCATCGCGATAGTACTTACTTAATTATGCAGCCTCGGGATCGTATAGAAGCAGCAATGCAAATCAAACAACAAATACAGCAATAGAAAATTTATACATAGTCGATTGTAGACTCAACAGTCCTACCAGGTAACGTTCACGTCTTTTTATTGGCGAGTTTTTCGCTGAAAAACACCGATATCACAAATTACACACGTAGGAAATATGTTTCCGCCAAGATGACGCTGTCTAATAACTTTGGGCTCGCGGGTCTCGTCCAAGAGATACTAATAGCGCTGGCAGCGCCACGATAATGTTATCGCATTCTGTCACATGTAAGTAATTGAACATTCAAGGATACTGCACTACCATAGAGGACTACCAGACACTTTCCTAATTGATGAATTACTCATCATAAATCGTTTCGTCTAACTTCAGTAAATAACAGCACAGTTGCCAAAAAAAAAAAACAAGCTCCAACAAGAGTCCAGGTTTTGGTGCACACATTAGTAATTCTAGCCACCTCGTTCTTACCTGTTCTGGTCGTTCTATGAAGAACGGGCTTACGAAGTACGGTCTAGAAGAAGGATCTCTGCGCTGAAAACCTAACACTTCGTCTATAATAGCCGCTGTAAACCGACACATTATTGTGTACGTACATTATGTGTAATTTTCGATTCGCAGAAAATCCTTATGTACAACTGGAAAAAAAATTCCGAGTTTGCAACAAACCTTCCTTGCGTATATGACACAGATGTTCAATAATGCGCATACGAGGTGCAGTACGCAAAACACTCCCAGGGTCATGTACGCTTTGTAATGGTTACCGACTGACATAGTACAAATGCTGGCTAAGCCGAACACAACGACCGCTTCCATATAAATCAGGAACTGCCAATAGAAAGGTATCTGCCCTTCTGAAGCAGAACAACATGAGCTGGGTTAGTTATATTTTGCAGGGAAGCTCAGTTGTTGAGTAGATCTTTTTTTTTTTCGAAGTCACACGAAAATAGATCGGATAAGTGTACGACATGTAAAAATATAAGCGAAGTCCTTTTTAGTCGTTAGACGGCGCTAATGAAGTACTCAATGCACGTCGAATATCTGATCGGATCAAGGCAAAGTTCGTTAAGTAAACACAGCAGACGACGAATCCTGGCAAGTGGGTAATATAACGGTTTTTAAAAACGGTAAACATTGTCAAGTGGTTCACAGTCCTACAGTTCGATTTGCTCTACGTCTAAATCGATTCACCAGCCGAAGTCATACGAGTTAATGTAAACGGTAGGATTTTTTTAAATAATTGTTTACAGTTAATCTTTATGAACGACACTAACCTGTTTCCTGTTCTGATACCTGTACGAAGAATAGCGCAATATAGTTTACACAAAAGAAGAGCGTAAAGTGTAGCAGAATGCGCATGGCATTATTATCCAGGTATTCCTGCCTTACGAACACCAACACAAAAGAATATCAGCGGTAGTTGCTTTCTCTTTACTAATTAAATTTGAGCTATTACGTGTAAAGGACACGACAGGAGTATCACTCGCCTCGTGTTACTATTTCCTTTTGAAAAAATGACGAGTTAAGTCTTCAAAATGACCCTTGAGATAATATGGACTTCAGCTTATTTACGCTCGCTGTTGAATCGAATTCGTCTGCTCAGCTTTTCGTTACATGGCTACAGAACGACGAAAGCGGTTAGCGGGCTAGCCGTTACATACTGCCCTGTCCATTTCTATAGCTCTAATGCTAAGAAGCTTGTAAACCTTTAGATGCTATTTCCGTTATAATCATCAGCACATCCTTTCAACGCTATTTGCACAAATTAGAGACATGATGGGTTATGAATATTTATCAATGAGCGTGCACTTGGTTACATCACTATTAAAAGACAACACTAACACGAGCTAACTTTTTTCGATAGATAACTCTATAGGCTTAGTTGGATGTTCAGGTACTGAAAGTGTATGTAGGTTCTATAGCGATTTTGAACCCAATTCACCTAGCTACTATTTTATTTCAATGCGGAAAAATGCATCTGTTGGAATAGGTAAAATGACTACACGCAAAGGAACATATCATGTTCCTTCCTATGTATATCATACATACATGCGGGCAAACAGGCCCAAATTATACAATCCTATATCTAATGGTCTGCATTCGACACTAATAGGAAGTAAAAAAAAAGTAGAAACAAATGAATGCACACTAGCTAAATACATTTTTTCAACATTACATCATACATATATGGCCGTCACGAATATGCACAGCCCTCATTACGATACCCGAGCATTCGTAACACTGGCAAACCTCGTCGTAAACAGACGTTCAAGGACAACGCTGCATATGTTAAGCACTATGTAAGGACTTCCCCGACCGACCGGAACTACATAACGGACTGAGAGGTGGAATATCCTTTAACATAACAATACGTCTAAAATATCACATCATATAAAAAGGACGCTTAAAAAGTCAAAGTTACATAAACACACAAGATCAAAAACTAAGTAAACCTTTACCAGAAAACGACCTAGAATGCATCGAAAGCTCCAATGTCATGTTACGTCATAACGTCACGTTATGCTTGCGCGCAACGTTGCCCGGCCCGACTGCGGATCTGTTCATCCACCTACATCCAGGCTTAACTTCTAAGAACGATCTCACTATTACGATTATCTTAATCTTAGTATAATGTGCCTCTGATTTAGTATAATGTACTCTGACTCGTTAATTCGAAAATATCCGAGGGCGTGATTTTCGAAATAATCCCGAATGTACCTCTTCTTCTGACCGCGAACATTTAGTTTAGGTGCCATCGTTTATGGAGAAGCGGTCACACATGGCCAGTGCAAAATAACCTGGACTCGTAAGTTTGCCTGCAGCCACAGAAATTCTTGTGCAAGGTGCTTATCCTTAAAATCAGCAATAATTTTGAATCAAGCAGATTTCAAGAAGGCAAAAGAATTTCGAATCGTTTCACCTGTCTCGTATATATCGACGTGGCATGCTTTGAGGAAAATCGGTATTGCCAAATCACTTCTGCCCTGATCATTTCCTGGGCAGCTGTCGTTGGGGCAGTCAAAATCTCCCAATTCATATATTCCCAAGTTTAGTAAACAGAAATGCTGCCACGATACCATTACGCGGACAAAGCTGCGTGCAATAACGGCACAGGAGTACGAGTGGGAGTAGGCCAGCTAATAAATACGGTGCGATTTAAAACTGTTGAAATACGCGACTGGTATATAGTATCAACATGTTAAAATACAGAGCACCAAAATAGGCAAATTCCTTGCTAATAATATACTTCTAACGTTTAAGTTCGCTCTAGGGAATATTGCGTTCTCGTTATTGGAAGCCCAGCGGGCATCTGAGTATAGTCGTATTTTGCATGCGACCATCCTTTAGCGCTGGTGCGTTCTATTTTCCGAAGAAGTTTGACTGAGAAATAATCATCAGCCAACCGGCTCGTCGAACGCCCAACAGTTGTTCTTTACCCTTTCATATCAATTGGTCAGAGATATTCGACGCAGTGTAGCAACGTAAATCCTGATTTAAGTAAAACTGCATGTATATCAAGTTAACTAAGGCACTAAGTTAACTAGAATATATTCGGTCATAAAACATTGGTTGTAAAGCAATGTACATACTTCAAGAGAAAATCCGATGACAAATAATTTGATGATTGTAAGTGCGATCTGGATGATTATTCCATAGAAAGGTAACGATCCAAGGAACTTTGATTTCGCACCAGCCTTGAGCGGTTCTCTATATCTGTCGATGTTGGTAGGTCGAAGTCGATCTTTTTTCACTGGAGATGCTCGTGCCTGGAACTTCGGTCGTGGGTGCCAACGTAATTTTTGGCAAGATTTCGGACGGGATCTTCTCTGTGATCTGGAAAGGGATTTTGTGCTTGGCTCAGAACAAGTTCTTTCACGTGACGTCGAACTGGAACCTGAGGGTGGCCTAATACTACTGTGTGTGGTGCCGGACTCTTCACGCGATTTTGAAAATGACCGATAACGCCAAAATAGCCTTGATTTTTCTTTGTCCTTTTGACTATGAGCGGGTTTCTTCCAGTGATAGTATTGATTGTTATAGCTATCAGCGAACTTTTGCTGAAAACGGTTGGAGATTTCACTTTTGTTGAAGCGACCATTTTTAAATGAAGCGAAATAATTTCGGAAGCGTTTTAGTTTCTGGTTAGCTTTTTTTTTGACGCCACCGCCGTTGAAACGAGAAGTAGTAATGCGGTCTTTTCTTTCGAGCGCTTCGGATCGACCGATATTGTAACTGTCGGAACTACTATTCACAAGGAACACTCTCTTAACACGGTCTTCCTTAGAGCGGTCACCAATAAAACGATTCGCAATTCTCCCCATTATACAATGCCCCTCGACGCTTTCTGAAAGCTTCGTTGTAACCTCCGTTTAATACCGCTATAAAGTTCAGTCGAATTTCAATTAAGAGTTGCTGCAAAAAAGTGACACAAACACCGTCGGTAATGAATTTTGCAGTACGCTTCCAACTCCCAGCTATGACGCTAGTATAATCTTAAATTTTATCAAAGAAAAATACATTAATGATTGCCATTGTAGTGTGTCGTTCTCGGAAGTCTAGCGCGCTAGAGGAGGCATCCGCCCATCGCGTACTTCGGTCGGGAAGTCGCTTCGAATTGAGTTCCCTGGCCAACGAATAAGAAGCGCCTTGTACGGTTTCCAAGATTTGTCAGATAACTTCAAGCAATTATGGGTATTAAGCTCAATTACAAAAGAATCTCAGACATTGACCCGATTCGTTCGGAGCACCTTAAGCGAGGATGTTGTTGGCGTTTTCCCTCCACTTCTATCTTGCTGAGTTTCTCCGACCCTACATGCCCTGGTCCGCAGGAGGCGAAGTAGTTCGGCGCAACGGTTAAGCGGACCAAGCAGCGGTGTTTCGATACGAAAAAAAAAACAAGAAATGCCACAACTGAATCTTTGTTGTCCTTTAGTGAGCTTTAAGCTTGGTAAAGAATTGTACCGAGGACAATTCGATTGTTTCGACAATATATACGACTGCATACGAGGTGCAGGAATTAAATAGAATACTCTTCAACGCCATCGAACCTCACGTACTTATCAGGCCAGTATTTGTATTACGTGTGAGGTTAGATAAGCATGTGAAGGCATCTGGTAACTGACACGATGCCCAGTTTGCTTATTTCGTATGATTTGGCATATTGTTCGTTAAGCCTGGCGACTTGTATGTGTACTACAGATTAGTGATCATGATATAGTTTGAAGAAATTTGAACGTGAAATGAATGGAAAATTAACTTTGCTTTAGTTTATTCCAAAACTAGGCGGTACTGGACGTGATGAAATCATTATGGAGACTCGACTATGCCCTAAAGGCAGGTGGCCTATTGTTAACGCGTAAACGACGTCTTATAAAATATACAAACTAACCATATTTTTGAGTCGAGATGAATAATCATAACATTACAGATGGCTTCTGTTGCTTAAGGGCAGGCCCCATACATACGCGTCGTTGTGATAGCTTAGTGTGTAACTTATTCGCCTGGCAATCTTAGGGACACATTGTATTCTAGACACGCGTCATTTTGTGCTGGGAGCTAGCCGCTGGACGGAATGCCTAAAGGCGATATCGGACGTACAACTGGAAACGTAGGTTTAATTTATACATTGAAGAAGTCAGTCCCCAAGAGCTAACAGATCTTGAGCTTGAAACTCGGCTAGGAGTTGCCCAGCAATGCAAGGCGCACCTGGCGATGCCTGTCGTACTGCAGGCACAAAGGACGTAATCTACATGAGCTTATAGATAGAAGTACCTCGAAAGATACCGTCCAACTACAGTCATTTTATATTCAACTAAAGTATTTATCTAAGAACCAGTTTCAAGTTGTATGTAGTTATTATAAGTAGGAAACTTGAAACGCACAGAATTGTTCAGGATGTTTACAAACGACGTTCTAGAAGAGACGCAAGAATAGCGACGGGTTCCACAAGTCAACAAGGTTCACTGAACAGTCAAAGCGAAGCAATAAGGTCGTGAGTTTGTTACCAGCATGTCGTATGTCCATCGCATTTTAAGATGGTGTCAATGGGGCGTTGTCCCAAGTGCACATGCTATTAGTGAAGGTCAGCCGGACCGAAAGAAGCAATTTTACGAAGAATCATCCTTAAGAACATTTGAACATGATGATAATACAGTTTTCGAGGAAGATTGCTCGGAACAGAAAAGCTAAATGGCACGGTTGATCGGCATAGCTACACCTGATGGATAACTGCAAATCTACATGTTAAGCTGGCAAAACTATGTAAGCGCGGTCACGAGTCAAAGTGCGACGATTTGCGAGATGAGAAAACCAGTTCTCCTTGACAATTGCTGCTTGACTTACCGCTGTCAGATTCTGTTTTACCACACGTTTGGAAGGGCTCTGATGAATAATGCAAGTCTTATTTTTAATAGGATAGGACATTATTATCGCCACACAAAAACCTAGTAGCTCAATGAAAAATAAATGGATTGAACGAGGTAGGCTTATGGAATATCCTTTCCGTCCTCCTAGGCTTGAGGCCAACAGATTTTATCTTATTAGTATACCTTAAGGACAACATCTAAGTCAGAAAAGTGGTGATACTAGCAGAGTTGAAAGCTGCGATTGAGCCAGGCTATATCAGAATGACAAATAAAACAATTGCTGAACGTCGAAGGTCAACAGTTCACCGTTATCAGCAGCATATTGATTAAAACGGTAATAATTTTAAATATCTATAGTAGAAATAACAAATATACATTTAGTGTGGATTCTGTTGCAATTTTCGTATTAATAAGATGTCATAGAAGTTGATATCATTCAAGCTGCACACAATCTCTCTAGGATAGCTTGGGTTTTGTGCAGTGTGATAGTATAAAGTACGCCGATCACCAAATTTAATTTGCTAAAATTTCTTATCATTAGCATACTGTGCGTTTTACTCCCGGCTTATCTGTGGGTGCTCCCCTTTCTCTTCTATATCTCTCTATCTGTAACATACGCTGGTTCGCTATATACCGAAGACGAAGCATCAACTCCCGAAATCCTTCCCCGCAATCGAACGGCCGTATAACGCGTAAATACGTAAGTTTTCAAAGCATCTTCATCAGTACATTACCCCTGGCAGGTACCATCGATGTCTGTTCGCTTGCAGAACCACTCGCGGCTGCTAATTAAATTAAAGCCAATCGTTAACAGTTGCGATTTTCGACACGAAATTAACCAAAGACTTACAGCTGAAAATATTTCGCCACGATCACTGTGTGCGCAGAACATTTCAAGATCACCGATTTCTGACGCTCACAAACGGCATGCTACGATCTCAATCGTATATGCCCTCGGAGGTCTACTTTTTCTTGCAGCCTTCAGTGTCCCCCTGAACGAACGATACACACAGTCAATGTTCCCATCTGTGTATGCGTGTGTGTATACCTGTACGTGTTTTTTCGTATTCTTCTGTTTTTCCTCTTTATTGTGTCTTGTGAAGAGAGGAACAATGCGACAAACAGTTGATACATCTGTCCGTTGTTTGCGTCCAGTTAACTTCCGGTCGTAACAACAGGGCGGCGAAAGCACTTAGACGTCCCTAATGAAATCCACCTTTTCTGCTCCGCTACAATTCCTACAATCTACTTTTTGTTATTAAGCATAATGAATACCAACAGAAACGAACGATACCATCATCATCATTATTATTTCTATTATCATACTGTGTTGAACTGTCGCTCTTGCCGTTGTACGCTAGCTAATAGCGCTAGCGTAATTGTTCATCGTTGTCTCGGCGTTCGTGGGAAGCGCTTCAAATGGTGATGCCCTTTTCACAGCCCACCTTATTCGACTATTGTCCTAGATCTAGGAGCCATTGACCCACAGCGATAGAATAAAAGGCAGGTGAGCGAAGTCGGATGCACCCAAAGATCGAGATATTCAAAAGAGACCGTTTACCATCAACTAATCATGTTTATAGAAGCAGGAAAATGTGTTTATTATTTGGTATTTGTCACTTTACGTTTTACAAGAAAAACATCCGTTCCTATTTGTCGATTTAGTCTCAGCTTAGTTTATTATTGGTAAATAAACAACTCGGTGCTTAGCATTTTGAATTTTGACCTTCTGAATCGAATCAAATCTATCGGAGTAGTAAAGCTGCCTTGTCATACGTATGCCATTTGTTAGCCAGTGATTTCTCCGCTCTTTTTTCAAGTTTATTACGAGAGTAAGCTCTACTATATCACATTCCCTTTTACACCCCCTGGACCCTTAATGAAGAAATGAGGAATCCGTATTTTTCAAGCTTCATGTCAAATGTCGAAAAAAATGGTACTTTCATTTTTTATAGGAATCCCCCCGATGAACTGATTATGTCTCGGTCGATTGACTAGTACAGCCTGTAACACAACATTGTTAAGGATCATCGCTACTATTTCATTCGGAACGACAGCGCCTCCCATATCGAATAGGTACGCAGTGTGGGGTTTCCTCCTGCATCGAACAGAATCTCCCAGAGGCTCGCATCGAGCAAGGGCTGGCTGGAAGGTCAGGGCCGGATTGACAATGGCCAACAGAGAAATATTTTGGGGATGACTGCAATTCTTTCAGCAATTTTCTTATCCAAAACTTTTATATTGTAAAGCGAAATTCGACATTCCTACCCAACTGTTTACAGATCTAACCTCTCGGCAAAGTGCCACAGACGCATAAAAAGCCTATTTTTTTTCCAAATCATATTTTATATGATCGAATTAAAGATCTTTTATTTTTCACTTGGTTCGGATTTTATTTTTTATTTATTAAAAGCTCTGTAAAAGCTGCAAGGATGCAACTAATGCAGTTAGAACCACAGTTCTTGTCCCGAGTCTATCTTCTACTATGGTAACAACTTTAGCAAGGCCCAGAAAACGTACTAAAGACTTTTGGGAGGTTCTGGTACAAAAAAAAAATTCCTTTCAGCGGGACATTGAGTACTATCGGCATTCCTACGCACTGTCAGAGCACAAGCTAGCCTTAGTCTTTGTAATGGCAGCTCACGAGAACTGTCAATGTTGGCGGCACAGATCCAGGACGTCGTCCACATCGAAAAACCAGTGTTCTCGAGTTTTCCGAACGAACAGCGAGCACTTCCAAGCATACCCTGCCGTATTCACTGGGTTTTCTATTTTGGGCCAATGTTTTCAATAATACGCGTACAAAAAAATGACAGAAGTAAACAATATGGAAATTATCGCTTTTTCAAACCTTTTTTGCAGCGACCTAAAATAATGGGCTTAACCCTCAAAATTTCTCAATAGCCTCTTGAAACCAGCCAATACCGTACTACTTAACAATGTAATGTTTTTTGAGA